AAATCTCTCGACCATATACATACTTTTCTGAAGCTAGATGATCTGCAGTATCGGATGATCGAGAGAAAGGTACATGTTTCCGTGCAAACATGTAATTATCGCTGGTTTGAATACGATGATTCTTATATTGCTAATATTTTGTACAAACTGATCATAGCGGTGGAATGAATTACAGTTTTTCTTCTGTACATGTATTTTTCAAATAATATTTGAATACACACTCGTATGGACATGGATCGTGTTCAACATCGGTTTACGTAATATATTCTTCTTTTATTTATTCCATTCACTGAATACATTTGAGAGAGATTTTTTTAAAGAATAACATACAGAATCATTGCAAATTGCAAATTAAATCATAAACTAATTCAACTTTCATCGGATGAAGAATCTAAAAATTCACAAACTGAGCAATATAGCTCCGAGAAAATAAATTAAATACTGAATTACCAATGGGCTAATTATTGAGTTGAACAGGCCGAAAAAGTGAATTATATGGTACAAAACTGAATTAAAAAGAATGAACTAGGAATAAAAAATACTTTCGTATATACAGAACAGCTTCGGATTGCTTCCGTTGCAAATAAACACAAATATATATAAGCAGCAAAACACACAAAAAGAGATTATTATATAAGCACGAAGCAATTCTACAATTCAAATGTGAAAATAACGTCCCGTTGATGATATGTTATCACTGAAAGACAGTGCTTAAATAAATATTTTGTTTACATGAGATACGAATTGCTGAAAATCAAAACCTTTTAACTATAAACTTCAACCTTCTGCAAAATCACGACTGATCATCGAATCGCATAAATGCTTCCATTCGTAATGGATCAATCCCAGAGATGCGAGAACCTTCAATAGATGCATTGAGATAAAAGTTCAATTAGCAGCGCGTCGAAATGAGGCAATGATACAAAATGAAAGTGAACAGTAAAGTTGCATGAAGGTGAAATGAAGGATAGCATATCAAATAGATTGAAATTAGGAAAAAGAATATGAATTCGGCGAGGAATATGAAGTCAGTTTTTGTTGGTGGATGGAGAGTGTTTGTTGGCAATGCCGATGTATTTATTTAGTAGAGCCGTACTCAACGAACGACGAATATGCTTCATATTGCGTACACCTGGTATTATAGCTGCCAACGNAGTAGAGCCGTACTCAACGAACGACGAATATGCTTCATATTGCGTACACCTGGTATTATAGCTGCCAACGCCGACTGTTCTCCTATTTCCGGCGAGCGGCCCGACGCTGAAACATTTTCAAAGTACACTTTAAAATTTCATCAGTAAAAACAATCGATCGAGTTTGTAACGAAAAGAACCACTAAATTATGGATGCGTATCAGTATTCAGTAAAAATCATTTGCTGCAATTAGTTCATGCAAACGGACGACAACATTGAATTGAAATATTTTTGCTTGAACAACTGTCATTTTAAAACATCGAAAAATTTATTCATTGTTGCAGATATATTGTTGAATTCATATCACAGCCCAAAATGATCACAATTCAAAAATGGTACAATGCTAAAGTTTTTCTGCCCGTTAACTTGACTGAGTAATTCTGTGAACAATCAGTTTATGCATTCAACTGCTGAAAGCGATAACTTTAAATCAGAAGAATTTATTCATGACGTAAGGCCAATGATTACGTTCTATCAAACGAGAAGGAATTCAGCAGAAAAGAAATATGAATAGATAACAACTTACGAACAATATTCAGTGGTGGCGATTTAACGATGGGTTTACGCAGTGATTTTCTTGGTTTACCTTGAACTTTCTTTGCGGAACTCTTAGTTTTATCACTTGAATCTTCCTGGTTACCGCTGCTCTTTATTTGTTCGCTACCGTTTTCGTCGGTGCCGGGGCTCTTCTGCTTTATCGGGACCTCTGTCGCATCTTTAAATGTATCAAGCGATTAGTTTCACCTATCCAAGAGCATCGCATGAGTGCATCAGGAGCAATAGATCGATTTATGAGCAATGATAACAATATAAATCGAACAGGACAATTTATATAATTCAAATTGTATGCATCAACTGCATGCTCAGTAAATAGGCAAACTTATTCAAACTTCAACAGATTTATAAAGAAATATTATAACTTAACCTTGTTGTCCTTTCCGCTTTCGAGCACTCAATGAAGAAGATGCATTTCGATCAGCACTTGAATCACCTACTTTCACTTTTCTTCTTGGAGAACGCCAAGTCGCTAATCCTGGTATTATTGATAAACTGTTTGGAGGAGACACCATTTACAAACGAACGGGATTGAGGCAAGTTTCGTTATATGAAAGGAACTTTCGCTCTAGTAATCTTCACAATTTTAAGCCATCGAATCTCAATCGCTACAGAATTAGAGTCAATGCATACAATTATGAACCTGGTATTATCACTGGTGATTTAGACGCAGGGGAACGATGTTGAGAAGCATTCCGTTTGGACAATCTGCTCAGTGGAGATTTTATCTTTTTGGAAGTTACCGTCTTCGATTTCACGCCAACCTTATCAACTTTCCGAACAACCGGACTTTGCTGAGGTTGACGTGAATTCGAATCTTTGATGTCTGTTTCATGTTTGCTGATCGCCGGTTTAGGAACCGCTTCTTTTATAACCGATTTTTTGGACACTTTTGGTGCTGACTTAGTCTTCAAGGCAGCACTGACGATCTGAAATTGAAATCAATACTGTGAAAATGGAAACTGGAATTTAATTTCCTGCGTCGACTTGATGATATGACACGTCAACTATACAAGGAATATGCTCACCTCAATAATTTCATCGTAATTCAGTTTGCCATTGTATGGTGTCGCATAGGCAATTGCGAACAGTTTTGACAGATAACCGCCACACGCATTCGTAATCAATTTCGATATTTCTCGATCGTAATTCTGTGAAAATGACTCCTTTGCAGCTTGCACCTGAAGAGCATAAGTGTTATTTCACAAAATATAGCAACAACATTTATAAACAATATTTGATAATTAACGATATCGCAATCAAAAAACGAACCTTTTCCGAATTTTCTTGAACGTTCTGCCACGGCAGTGAACCAGTGATCCAATAGAAGATATTATACGCGAGTATTTCCAAATCACCTCGCCACGACGGATGAAAACCACGATGTGCATCCAACGATGTGAATAAAGGTGTTCCACAATGTGCTTAAATTATGCACCAGTTCATATTCACATTGTGCAAGCAATCAACTTAAACCTAATTCGACTC